GCTATGCGGATGACAGCACTGGTGATGCTCTATACACCGGCCGTGCCAATATTTCTCGGGAAAACGTCGCCGAGTACCGGAACAAACTTGTCTGAAGTCAAGTCTTTGCTGAATAAAGTTTCGGATTGGGGGCGACTAAATGTAGTCCAGTTTAATCCTCAGAAGACACAAGTTTGCGCGTTTACCGCTAATAAGAACCACTTTGTCGTATCTCCTCAGTTTCAAGGCACTCCCCTTCTCGCCTCAGACAGTATCGGAATCCTCGGAGTCGACATATCGAGTGACGTGCAGTTTCGTGGTCACTTGGAAGGGAAGGCCAAATTGGCCTCTAAAAAGCTTGGCGTGCTCAGCAGAGCGGGACAGTATTTCATGCCGGCACACCGCCTGCAACTTTACAAGGCACAAGTTCGGCCTCACATGGAATACTGTTCCCATCTCTGGGCAGGGGCTCCCCAGTGCCAGCTCCTTCCACTTGACCGCATCCAACGCAGAGCTGCGCGAATCGTCGACGACCGAGCCCTTTCCGATCGGCTCGATTCATTGGCACTGCGAAGAGATGTTGCATCCCTTTGCATTTTCTTTCGCATCTACCATGGGGAGTGCTCTGAGGAATTGTTCGGATTAATCCCAGCCGCCAAATTTCACGAACGCACATCGCGGCAGAACTCCTGATACCATCCACACCATCTGGATGATTGGCGGTCCACCACTGTGCGATTTTGAAGATGTTTTCTTCCTCGCACGACCTCCTTGTGGAATCGATTACCATCAGCGATTTTTCCGGATTGATACGACTTAGGGACCTTCAAGAAAAGAGCGTACTCCTTTTTAAAAGGCCGGCAACGCATCTGCGATTCCCCTGGTGTTGCAGTTGTTCAGGGGCGGTGGTAGTCACTTACCATCAGGTGAGCCGCATGCTCGTTTGCCCCCTCTCCTATAAAAAAAAAATAATGCTCTTTTGTCTTGTATTTTGAAGGAATAGAACCTAAATTCTCTTTACGCTTTTGAATTTTGTGTATTAATCGGGGATCTTAAACGTTGGTGCCTATAGGCAACCACATAGCATCAGGGTGACTATGTGCTCGTTTGTCACCCTTATGTCGTAAACAGCACTGTCTAAGGTATTAATAAATTTGGATATCTGTTAAAATTTAAATGGAATCGCTGATATTTTTATTTATTTAATTGATGTTAACAAATCTTTTCAATTATTAGTAGAAATTAGCGTTTAATTTAAAGCTGACGTATATTTTATTACTGAAATTATTTTAACTATAAGTTGCAGAACGCTCTACTGTAATAACACTTCACACACTTCTCTAGAAGACATTACATGATTTCTTTTTCACAGCAAAAACGTGCAAATTTTGGGCTTTGAGCAGGCTATGTGTAGCTGAACAATTGAAAAACATGCCGTACCTAAATGTTATCCCACTACTTTCAAGGTTTTACCCCGGTATTTAGTAAATGTCATTGATAATGTTAGTTTTATATGGGAATTGTAATCGTTTAATATTAAATTGCAGGTGGTTTGATATAATAGATTTGCTTTTTAAGGCTCAAATCTTTCCTATGGTTTTTCTTGAAATTGAGGGATTTTATACAATGGATCTTAACTGCGAGTCATTGAGCTACAACTTTTATAGTTTTATCTATTACAGTTAGCACCACACACGGTATTGCTTGTAAAGTACGTTCTTGGTTTACTTTTTAAACCTCTTACGGAGTCCGTTTTTTACTTATTTTGGTGGACGCCACTTCAGGTAGTTGTATAAAGTTTTGCAGCCAAAAGTATTAAAACTCGATACGGTTCACCGGATGGTAAGTGGGTTCTGTGGCCCGTAGACATCTATATATATCCTCGATCAGCAATCAAAATGCAGATGTCGTCCGCATCTGATTTGACCTTGACCTTGACCTTGAGGACTAAGATGGAATGCCTCTTTTCAAGTAAAAAGGATCTCCGGTTCTCTACACTCCCCATACGAAGCACAGCAGCATTAATCTGCTATTTTACGCTGGTATTCTGTGAGAACGTGGTCCTTTCCCGGTCAAGCCGACCCATTCATGCTACAACTATCATATAGCTGCAGCATGGCTCCACCACTTAAATAAAAATAATAAATAAAAATTAAATAAACAATGAATATTTTGCATGTGATGAAACAGTTGTTGTCCTGGTATGGAAAGTTGTAGAGACCTGGAATCGATTACCACCAGCGATCTTTCCGGACCGATACGACTTAGGGACCTTCAAGAAAAGAGCCTACTCCTTTTTAAAATGCCGGCAACGCATCTGCAATTTCCCTGGTGTTGCAGTTGTTCATGGGCGGCGGTATTCACTTACCATCAGGTGAGCCGCATGCTCATTTACCCCTCTCCTATAAAAAAAGACCTATAAACCCATAAGCCCGGTTTAATATGTTTAGAACATTCAATACAAAACAATACAAGAAATAAGGAGTTTAGAAATATTAAAAACTTCTCTGCAATTTCATAAAATTTTCGTCCTGACCTCCGCAACAATAGAAAAACTTAAACCATTGTAGCTGCAACGTTGTTTGCTTTAATAAAGCTCTGGTTTTAATACTAGAACATAAATACGAGGACATTCTGGGACATTCTGTATGTTCGCGCTTTCTCGCTCTTTAATTTTTGCAGCAACAGAAATTTATGAGTTACGAACATTTACAAAATTTGTAGACTTATCACTTTATATTACCTTTTATGTTCATATTGCTTTTATTTATGGTTCAGTAATTTAATTTACTAATTTTCTCATTATCTACTCCAGCTAAACTTAAAATTTCTGTTAGGAGTGGTTTACTACAGGATACCAGATTTGTATTCACGACTTTTAATCATACTATTCTTTATCCAATACAATACTGTCGCTTTACTTCTTAATACAGCTTACATCATGAATATTTGACTAAATGTCTTAAAATACATATTTTTTAATGCAAAATGCTTTATAACTTAATGTATTACATTTATATTATAGTTAGTCAAATTTGAATTTCTAATGAAGAAACAAGCACGTACAACTTAGCTACTGCTAATAACGATGCACCAAGTTACTTAACTACTATTACAACTTAAGCTGTTCTGTCTATATCCTATTAAAGATAAAGTTCTTCCAATTTAAGAGCGTAATTTCATGTATTCAAATACTATTTAACGTTTACTTATTACTGTACTATTTGATGTAAAACTATTACTGCACACAGTACGTAATACAAATGACTTTGTCATTCATCATCAAGAGTATTCTGTTTTTATTCGTTAATTATAACCTATCAAAAGTTCACTACTGTGCATAAGCCTTACCCCATAGCTTGCCTCATATTTGCCATATTAGTCACGCTTTTCAACCGGTTCGCAACAGCAACTTTTGGAACGAAGTTCCTTATCGGACGGTACGGGTTTGGCGGATGGGAGCTAGGCGACAAAAAGTGTAAGATTTTTTCGTCACTACCCTTTGTGTCATAGTGTAGACGGCCTTGGTGGCGAAATAAGGAAGTGAGATGGAATAATATCTATTTCACTTGCACTTTTTCTTATTTTGCCATGAAATAAATATTGTTTTATTTCAAATGACGCTTCATTTTAATAGACGCTAGTAATTCATTTATTTGTATTTTTAATCAATAATATAATACCTACGTTTATCAATAATAATATACTACGCAAGGAATTTCGTTCCAACCGAGTGTTCTACGACACTCACGCATTTTTTATTATTATTAAGTTGTTATTGGACAGATGCCGCTGCTTATCTCCTGTTCCTTTTGTAGCCACAGACGAAACCCACGGACTGATATTTATGGGCTAGTGGATTCTCCGGAACTCGTGGAGTTGAATTCCTTACATTAAGAATATAATTATAGTCTTCTTGCATACTATAGATTTATATCATCAACAACATCATTCAGAAGTCCACTGCTGATTGTAATATTTATCTTCGCCTTATCAGGTCGTCACTAATCTAGTGGGAGACCCTTATACTTCACTTATCGCTACGAGGCTGCTCGAGAATCTTTTTTTTCTAGTACAGAAGATATTCTCATTAAGAAGTCAATCATACAGAGAAACTAAGCCATAATTTAGAGAACTATGACAATTAGGCGCCTGCCGTTAATATTTCGCAAGTTTTCTTTGAAAAAGTTTGCTGATGAATATGGGCTAACATTAGATGGATTGATTTATTCGTTTTCCATTTAAAAAAATTGAAATGTAAAATTTGAAAATGATGTGAATATTTGGCTCTTGAGAGTCAAATATTTTCAATTTATTAAGTAGGTTTAACTTATATTTTTATAACATGAAAAATAGATAAGGAGATAGTAGTACTGTTTGTGAATAATATTTACGCTCGAGAAATTCGCATTTTAAATTGTAGTTAAAAATGCAAACTTATCTTGGAAGACAATAATCACAACGGGATATTTATCTGTGTGTAATTGTAAACTTATTTATCTATTTCTTTTGATGTTCAATGTTTTTATCTTACCACCAAACGGTATTTATCTGCCAGATTTAATACGAAACAATATTTTAGCATAATAATAAAGTTATTTGAGAATTAAAGTCTAGGTATTAGTGTCGATTTCACTTTGTTTCCACACAAATAGTGGTAAAGTATTATTATGAACTCGCACACTGTCACTTTCGGTAGCATTACGTAAACACGAGTACGAATGACGTGTGTATAGAGTGAAGGCAGCTGCAAGAGGTTATTTTGATCGCAGATCGCAGTACAGTAGGTGTGTTTATTATCTATACTATACAGTATCAGTACGTTGTCAATGGGTCATTGATAAGGTTATGTTCTTGTTAAGAATTTAGTTTTAAGCTAAAAATATCGTGGATAAAGACTGAAATTGTTAAGTGTGAATTCAAACATAAAGTACACAACTTTTTTCATACTAAATTATAGTGATTTTGTATAAAGCTAAAGTTAATTTTGTGTAAAATAATAAGACCAGCTTAACGTAATTATGGCGTTATCAATAACAAAGTTCTCAAGAGTTTGGTCCTCTTTATTTAATACGAACAACTTGAGAAATTTATCAACGACGTGCTCTAATAACGCCAAAGTACGTTTTAATTGGGAGGATCCACTCGACTTAGATGGACAATTACACGAAGATGAAAAAGCGGTTCGTGACACATTTAAAGATTATTGCAACGAAAAACTAATGCCGAGAATAGTAGAAGCGAACAGGAAAGAAGTTTTTGATCGAGAAATTTATAAGGAAATGGGAGAATTAGGTGCACTTGGATGCACTATTAAGGGTTACGGCTGTGCTGGTGTATCATACGTAACTTATGGATTAATTACAAGAGCATTGGATGGTGTGGACTCAGCTTATAGATCAGCTATGAGCGTACAAAGTAGTTTAGCTATGGGGGCTATTTATATGTATGGGACTGAAGAACAGAAGCAAAAATTCCTGCCAAGGATGGCCAAAGGTGAATTAATAGGGTGTTTTGGATTAACTGAACCGAATTTCGGTAGTGATGCTGGAGGACTTGTGACAAAGGCTAAATACGACTCTAAATCAAAAAGTTTTATACTTTCCGGTTCAAAAACTTGGATTACGAATTCGCCAATAGCAGACGTTTTAATAATTTGGGCGAAGGATGAAGAAAAAAATGTAAGGGGATTTATAGTTGAGAGGGCACAAGTCAGTAAAGGTCTCGATACGCCTCGAATCGACGGTAAATTTTCTTTGCGAGCGTCTGCGACGGGCATGATATTGCTCGACGAAGTTGCTATACCGGAGGAAAATTTATTGCCAAACGTGGTCGGTTTAAAGGGACCTTTCGGATGTCTCAATAATGCCCGGTATGGAATCGCTTGGGGCGCTCTCGGTGCAGCTGAAACATGTTTGCGGATCGCCCGACAGTACACATTAGATAGAAAGCAATTTGGGAGGCCGCTTGCTTCAAACCAACTTATACAAAAAAAGATGGCTGACATGATTACGGAGATAAGTATTGGTTACCAGGCATGCTTACAGGTCGGACGCTTGAAAGATAAGGACTTAGCAGCGCCCGAAATGATATCGTTAATTAAAAGGAATAGTTGCGGTAAAGCTTTAGAAATTGCTAGAGTTGCTCGAGATATGCTGGGAGGAAACGGTGTTTCGGATGAATACCATGTTATAAGGCATGTGATGAATCTTGAAGCTGTTAATACGTATGAGGGTACACATGATATTCATAGCTTAATTTTAGGCAGAGCAATTACTGGAATTGCTGCATTTTAAAAACAACGCCAATGTATTTATCTCTAATATTTTGTATAATGTAAAATATTTCATTTTTCTGCCGACTTCCAAAAAGGAGACGGTACTCAATTCGACGCGTATGTTTTTTTATGTGTGTTACTTCATAACTTTTTAATGGGTAGACCGATTTCGATGATTCTTTGTTTATATGAAAGCTGATACTTTTCGTGTGGTCCCATATGAATTTGATCAAGGTTAGACCAATAGTATTTGAGTTATTTTTAATAACTTATATTGAAGTCGGCTGTACAAAATTTTAAATTTTAAATTATTGTAAGTCTAATAGACATTGTAATGTACGTAATATATAAGATTGTGTTAAAGAAATGTTTTATTCCATTCCGTTGCCCTCATTTTCTGTGCTCTATAGATAACGAATTAATGCATTATTTAGATATTACTGGCACTATTCCAAGGGGAGAAGTACTGTATGGTAATTTTAAGTTACTCAGTTAAGAACTTACTTATTCAGTTAAGAATATTTTTTTACATATTTGGGCAATTTTAATATATAAGATTAAAAAGGTAATCAGTTAAAACAACCAATTAGCTTTTGCAGGCGCCGGGTATCGATCCCGGTAACTCTCGTATGCTAAGCGAGCACTCTACCATCTGATCTACGCCTCCTATATAAATAAATATAAAGTAAGTTAAAAAGTATATCTTATTTAAAAAAAACAAGTTAGTGTACATAGTTTTCATAAAAAATTAAACGTCTTGTTAATTATATTATAATAAACATAATAGTTTTTGCACACAAAACAAAATATAGAATTAGTTTTATTATGCAAACAATATATATTTCCTAAGGAGTGCATGTTTCGTTCTTGATTAGGTCAGCGATTATTTACTTTATTTTTTCTTTAATAATCACGAAGTGCTCGTGTTAAAATATTAAGAATACCAATCATTATCAATCATTATTATAAACATAATCAGTACACATCTATTTTCATATAATCTCAATAAAAATGAACTTATATCCTATTAAAATTTTTATAAGAGATAATAAATTACAAAAAACCTCGCATTTCATTTCTGACGGCTCTTATTCGCCTTTTTCATTAATCTCGAGAACCGTATTGCTTTTGGAATATAATAATTTGAAGTTTATTTTCTCTCTTTGAGTTTTTTCCCATTATTTTATCATTATACATTATTGGGAATGGAAGTTTGTTAAGCTTTATAATATTCACTACGTATCCAATTAAAAAAAAACTAGAAAGTATTAGTATCTCCATGGCCAGTATTTAGAATATTTTAATGTGACTACAGTAGTGAAAAAAAAAATCAGAATCATGTATTTTTCTTTTATGTAAAATATTAAACGTTCCACTGCTAGGATCAGATGTTATTATTATTCAATAAAACGATGATAGGTAGATATTTAAGAACTCAATTTATATTTAATACGCCTTGTCTCGATGAAATAACATTCACGAACAGTACTTTGTCTCGAAATATTAATTTTAAAAACCATTTAGCAAAAAAATTAAGTTAAATTTAACAATACATATTAATTTCTAGGTAGATATTTTAGAACGCAATTGTCTCTATGAAATAACATTTACGAACGCTACTTTGTCTCGAAATATATATTAATTTTAAAAATCATATAGCAAAAAAATTAAGTTCACTTTAACAATACATATTAGTTTTTAATTCTCAACACTCTGCTTTATTTTAAAATATATATTTCTTTCTAATTCTTAACACTATTTTATCATAAAACATTTTTTTTTCAACATTACTATAAATAGAATATAAGTGGTACTATAACAACTATAACTATAAGTGGTAACGCAGATAATGTTGAAAAATTGACAGCCATTTTTTACCTTTTTTTTTTTACATGAACGTGATGTATATCGTTATACATGCGTAACTGAAAGAAAAAGAAGCAGTTTAATTTAAAAATGTCACTGACCTCTATATAAACAAGTACGCTGGACAGGCTATTCTATATAAAATGCTTATGCCGATTTGAAGCGACCTCATTGTTTATACCGGGAACTAAAATTGACATAATATGCCAAAGTCTGTGGTTTTTTTTTTATAGGATAAGGGTGACAAACGAGCACACAGTCCACCTGATGGGAAGTGGTTGCTGCGGCCCATAGACATCTACATCTATCCTCGTTTGCGAATCAAAATGCAGATGCGTTGTCACCCGTGAGGACTAAGAAGGAATGCCTCATTTCCAGTAAAAAGGGCCTCCGGCCACCTGCACTCACCAAACGAAACGCAGAGGTAAACCTCTACTTGACGCTGGTATTCTGTGAGGTCGTGGTACCACCCCGGTTCGAGCCGGCCCATCCGTGCGACAGCAAAAGCTGCCGCGTGGCTCTACCACTGTTAATTAAATTATGGACAAAGATGGATTTAAATGGTGTTATTTAAATCCATCTTTGTCCATAATACTCATCGATGTTCTTTTCTACCCATATCTGATAACAAGCAAAGTTGCCGACAACAGATAATTTTCAAATGTTTATTAATTAACAGGTTTCTAACTGAACCTAGACTAATCTAAGCACAAAAATGTGAATTGGCGTCCGAAACAAAATGATTATCTTTGTTCTAAACACTTCACAGATGACTGTTTTATTAGACATGAGAAACGCACTACTTTGAAAAAGTGTAGTATACCCACAATATTTTCTGGTAGTACCAGTACCAGTAAGTATAAAAGTATTAGAATATTATTGCGAATGTTTTTTTTTAATTTCTTATCTCCTTATTTGAAAGAAGCGAAAGAGGTATGTAAGGATCGTGACACTTGGCGATCTGTTCTCTCTGGCTATCCCGTCAGGGATTGTGCGTGATAAGTAAATCTCCTTATTTCCCCTGGTGGTGGGGCCGCGGATATGTTTGAAATCGTTTTCTTGGCCCTGCCAATGTGTGCCGATGGTACGTGTTCCACCTTCCATGGGGTTTTAGTAAGTACAGGTCCGACATAATCCGTTCTTGCCCCCGCGAAGCGAATATGCGTAGGTATTTCCTCATTTGAAACCCTGAACAAAATCCGTTCTGTAGTTACGAATATAAACGTAGATAGAGCAAGACACCGTCGATCATGGTTTTATATGAGGTATAAAGCTTGCGTCTAAGGCCTAAGTATAAATTGATACATTTAGTTATATGTTTATATATATTATATTAATAGATCTCACATAGTGTGAAGGTCTCGTGAAGAACTTACTTTAGAAATGATCCTATGAAGTAAGGTCTAAGGAGTCTAAGGAGCTGTGGTATCTCAGATGGTTAGCGCTCGCTTTAAGTTTCACAGTACGCGAGCAACCCGGGGTCGATTCCCGCCGGCACCAATGTAATTGTTAATTGAAATTTTAAGTGCTGATGTACCACGTGCTCGGCGGTGAAGGAAAACATCGTGAGGAAACGTGCATGTCTGAAAAATAAAAAAAAATATTTCGAAGATATGTGAAGTTCGCCAACACGCATTGGGGCAGCGCGGCGAACTTTTCCTTGCCCTAAAACACTCATAAATGAGAGGAGGCCTGTGCCCAGCAGTGAGACGTATATAGACTGTAATTTTATCTTTTAACCTTTATTATATTAATATGTTACATAAATAGAATGGGCGTTAAGGTTAGGTCTAGGTGTAGAATTTAAACGATATATTTGTCACACTGTCTTATTTCTATTATTAGTTCCGTGGACGTTCACTTTTGCTGTCAACGCCAAAATGGCGAAAATCAAATCGCCTCATTTTGTCATGGTGTATAGCCAGTCCACACATAAAAGTCAGTGAAAAATGTGTGCGAGAGCTGCATTAGAAATGTACATTAGTAATGAATGATATATATATATATATATATATATATATATATATATATATATATACATACATATATATATATATACATACATACATACAAATAACGTAAGGGAATAAGGGTGACAAGCGAGCACACAGTCCACCTTATGGTAAGTGCATGCTGTGGCCCGTAGACATCTACATTTATCCTCAATTAAGAATCAAAATGCGTTGTCACCTTTGAGGGCTAAGATGGAATGTCTCGTTTCCGCTTTCCAGTTAAAAGAGCCTCCGGTTTTCTACACTCACCATCACAAGAAACATGGTAGCATTAAGCCAATATTTTACGCTAGTATTTTGTGAGAGGGTTGTACTATCCCGATCGAGCCGACCCATTGGTACTACAAGCATAATGTAGGTGCAGCATGGCTCTAATACGTCTAAATTTGGAAAATTACCCCATTTGGATGTTGAAGATTATCAAATTCTGAGGGTACGTAAGAGGCCGATATCCTTTGGCTGTTACCTATTGAAATAACTCATATACGTATATATTACGAACGCCATACATAAAATATTACGAAATAGCTTCAAATTAGTGGGACGCTAGGTATATTATCGTCAATCTGATTTCCGGATTATGGCTAGTTTTAACTAGGATAAGAGGTATATCTTGGTCAGTAGTATTAAAATTTCGTAATTTATAAAACACGGTTTTAATTTAAGAGCTATTATTTAAATTCAAATGTAATGATATAAACATGTGTAGTGGGGCTGTGAGAGCGTGGTCCTACCCCGGTTGAGCCAACCTAATCGTGCTGCACCCGTAATATAGCTGCAATATGGCTCTACCATGTTTGAAAACGGAGAAGGTGTAGCAGTAAAAATATCCACTACACCGTATCATCGAAAAGGAACAGAGGGAAACAAACCAGGAAATGTGTAGAAGCGTCTTCCTAAAAAGATCTAGAAAATAAAAACAAAAACTGAAGTTGCCAACTTGCCTTGCAAACATGGCAATTATGGCAATTAATCCCCCCTATGATGCAATCTATGGGGGAGGCATATATTCAGCAGTGGACTTTTGAAAGGCTATAATAATGAATATGATGAAAAATGTATCTTATTAAAATAATTAAAGTTTTAGGTATAACATTTTTTCAGTTACATGTTACATCTACCACAGAATAAATAATAGTAT